AATCACTAAATCAAAGCAAACCCCTCTGTGTTAATTTGAAAGGATTAGATGTTTCTGCATACAGCCTTTTCCAAATCAGTTCAGAAATCTGAATGGAACCTTGCATTGAATGTCCCCTAGAGATGCCCCTGATGGGAATTGTTTGTGAGTAAATATGCATAAGGCTGGTACTCAGTTTCTTTTCCAGAGACCTCCAAAAATGTATTTCACAGGTTTTCATATTTTTAATTTTTTTGAAGTTTGCTATTCATTCAGTATTTCCAATACCCTTGTAATGAATCTTATTAAATGTTTCGCCTTAGCAGCAAAAGATACATGTAATGCTATCTTTAATCAGAAAGCCAAATGCCTTGAACACTAACACTGCCTTTTAGGATCAGGCAATAAGAATAATAGGATATACATTCTAAGAGAGAGAGGAGAGGAGAGAGAAGAGAAGAGAAGAGAAGAGAAGAGAAGAGAAGAGAAGAGAAGAGAAGAGAAGAGAAGAGAAGAGAAGAGAAGAGAAGAGAAGAGAAGAGAAGAGAAGAGAAGAGAAGAGAAGAGAAGAGAAGAGAAGAGAAGAGAAGAGAAGAGAAGAGAAGAGAAGAGAAGAGAAGAGAAGAGAAGAGAAGAGAAGAGAAGAGAAGAGAAGAGAAGAGAAGAGAAGAGAAGAGAAGAGAAGAGAAGAGAAGAGAAGAGAAGAGAATGAACAAGCTCCAAAACCCTAATCTTCCTTTTAGCTGATATGTGCAAATGGTAATCAGATAGCAAGTTGTTTGTGACATTAGTGTAAGTCAGTTTTACAAAGCATGTGCAGACTGAAACATAATGTCTCAAGCCCCTTGAGTATCCCTGATCCCATATCTTACTTTATTTTTTTCAGACAGGCAACAAACACTGACTTGATGTCAAACACCTCTAATACTCACAAATGGAAAGACATGCCAATTCGTAACACCTGGGATCACATTAATTCCCCAACTGTCCACTGTTACATGTGGTTCTTACCTTTCAGTTGTAAACAGGGTGTTCATCTGCCCTGCAAGAACATCTTGTTCTCCATGGATCTAAAGCCAAAACCAATTGCTTGGATTCTGCTACAGACCGTATTACTAATGGTTCACTATATACTTTTGCCTTGGACAACATCTGTTCTCCCCACATCTCCTTCTTGGAAATACTCAGAACAAGGTTCTTTAAAGTCACACCAGCTATGAACCATGAGATTTAGTGAAAAGAAAGTCAGTTTCAAGAGCAAAAACCACCACTAGCAGAGCTGAACTTAGCAATCCTGTTATGCACTGAAGTCATGGTCAACTAGAATCAACTTTCAATGATCCAAAAAGGGCAGGCAATTTTATTCCATGGAAAACCCACAGTGACCCCATCTGCATCAGGGGCACTGCATGCAAGGATGGGTTTGGTTTATTTAAAAAAAAAAATCACCCTCCCAAAAAGGTGCTGGTGTTCTTTTTAACAAAACTGCAATTGGTGCCAATAGAGAACTTAAGGAACTAGTTTCTGTGTAAGAAGAGTAGCTTAAAGACAAAATGAAACAAAGACTGGATAAGAAGGAGGACAAAAGCCCCAACAGGTTTACAATAAATAAATAAAACCAGAAATGTGTTTTCCACCTGGTTTGGTCCTATGAAGCCAAGAAAAATGACAAAAGACAATATATTGGATGGAACAAAAGAGAAAGAAAACATAACACTTACTTCACTCATTTGGGGGATAGTAAGCTTTGGTAATTTATTCTTTGAACTGGATCCGGTGGTTTTCCCCTCCAGCAGAATTCCAAAGGATTGGTTTCCATAGACACCTTCAGTTTCTATTGGTGGTTTTAATTCTGGTGAATCATTTGGAACCTGGTCCTGGCCATCCATAGGTCTAACATAAGCAGTGGGTTTCTGCTGGGTCATACTACTCTTACAGTGAAGTCCAGGAGGAAAATTCTGGTTGGAAAGGTTGTTACTGGTAGACAACAAGGATGTAGAAGGGAGAGGAGATCCATGGCTCAGAAAGTCAAGATCCACTGGAGACTTCGAATGGGTGGTTTCTTTGTATGAGTGTTCTGCCGTTGTGGACTTGGAATGATTATGCCTCCTTGAGTGTGAAGATGATGGCGGTGTGTTGGCTTCCTCCCCTCCTCCAGTTTTCTGTGGCTCATTCTGGCAGGTATAGAGGTCCTCATATCTGCCTTGGGATGGCTCATGAGAAGAGCCATGTTTTGTCCGATTTGGCTGGCTACTAGGTTGGCTTGGCTGGCCACCATTAGAGCTGTGGTTGCTACGGGACCAGTCAGTCCTGGATTTCCTGTTGCTCTGGTGGCCATGCAGCAAACTTGAATTGGATGATAGGGAAGTTGGGGGAGGCATAGCAGTGGAGGCATTCCCACCAATCTGGTGGGGTGTGATCATCCGGTTCCTTTGCTCTGGGAAAAAGCTCGGCTCATTTTTATCTACTGGGGTTTGTGGCACAGGATTCTTTGGGATGCCTACAAGGTGACTCTGGTTGGAATGATTTGTCAGCAGGTCCTTCATCTCATCGTAATTTCCCAAGGTGTTCTGGACACGGTTGGCAAGAGCATCACCTTTGCTGGTCTAAAACATCAAAGGAAACCAGTGTTAAGAAATATGACATGTGAATAGTGTCAGAACAAGGCAAGAAAGGAAAGGATCTGACTTTTTTCAGCCCATGTCTAAATGCATTCTAAAAAGGACTCCATTCCTTGAAATTTTTTATTTCTCCTGAATTTCAGTGGTGGGTGTTAAGAAATGTCTTGGATTTCCACGCCAATTCCTCCACCCTAAGCCTTTATTTATCTGAAATGTTTCTAAGCCAATGTTATGGACCGAAAACTTCTCCAGGGTGTCTTAAAAGAAGAAAATCACATATCATCAAAATGATATCAAAACAACCAACATTAATAAAATCAATAAGCCCCGGTAATTAAAATCCCACTTCAGTAATAAATACAAAGTGAGTTGCGGATAAAACTTGGAACAGACCATTAAAGCCTAGTCAAGGAATGGTTAACAGTTGCTGTGACAGAGAGACCCCAAAAGGCAACATGTCCAAAGGGCTGAGCCTACAGCAAAAGAGGTTCTTGTCCTGTCAACTGCAGAGCCCTCAAAGGAAAAGGTACCTGAGAAGGGTACCTGTTAGTGATCTTAATGTGAATGCCATGAAGATGGATGAGAGGAATCCTCTTATATTTTCCCCCTCCAGTAACATTTAATAATGACAACACAACTGCAGCAATGTGTGGTGATGGTGGTGGTGGAGCTGGACTGAGGCCAGAGAGAAGTGAGTTCCCATTCAATTATGGAAGCTGGGTGGATGACTTGGGGCAACCACTTTCTCTTAGTCCAGCCTATCTTATATAGTTGTTATCAGATTAAAATGGGGAAACACCCTTGGTTCTTTTGCCTAGAGCCTCCATGTGGAAAGAGGGAAATAAATCAAACAACATCTTCTTTTCCTCTCTGGAAGCTATCACTGAGGCTATAGGAGGGTGCCTTTGGCTTTGGGTAACCAGGAAACTCACCAGGAAGATGGTGATTTGATTGGTGATGGACTGTAATGGTATGTGGGAATGACCTTGGGAGACAGAGGAAAGAGATGCTGCCTAAGGAATGATCAGATAAGAGAGTGTATAGCCCACAGCTGCATAATGGGTGGAGAAAGAGGCTCAGAAGGGACCCTCCCTAACTTATCAGGCCGTAAGAGACAGCGGGAGATTTGTACTTTCAGACTTGCAAGATTCTGTTAATGTAGCCTTACAATAAAGTAGAATTAGCTAATCTGGTTGTGTTTCCTATCTGGTCTACCTGGGAAGGCTGATATGGACCCAACATGGATGGACTGCTCTTTTAAAAATGGGGATGTCATTCATTGAGAATATTATTTTGGTCCCAGCTTCAACCAGCCAATCAGCCTGGCAGGTTGAAAATGATCATCTAACTCCCGAAAGGGTAAGCACTGCTTACCAGCTCACCAAGAACCTTTGAGTTATCAGCTAAGAAGGAAGAGACAATTGTAGGAAAATGGTACAAAGCTCTCAAGCTTTCTATTCTGTAAAACAGTGGGGGTCAAAGTAATTGCTGACTAACTTTTTCTACTGCGTTGTGATGAATAACAGTTTCAAATGTCCTTTTTTGTTGTTCTGAGTTGCCCTGGACAACTAAGATGTGATTCTGGGTGCTTTTTGGCCTGCGTCCAGCTTGGTTACTCAATAATTTCTCCCAAAATGAGCATTTAGGAGGGTTTAAAAAAAAAAATCAAAAAGAGATATAAATACAGTTGTCAGCTGTATTTGCAAAACTCAATCTCCTTTATTTTCTGGAACCACACAGCATGTGTTTTTGCAAATCAATGATTCACAGTCACTTTCTGTAAAGCACAGCAATTATTAGGCAAATTCTGACTCATTTTTGGCATTATTGTGTTTTCATCCTCTGCGCACTTCTACTCAATTTCCTAGATTTTATCTGCTGCTTCTCTTTTTCCGTCTCCTTTTCTGAAAGTGCATTTAAAAGATGGGACATTTGTCCACAGATAATACCCTTACCACATGGTTACTGTTCAGTTGAGCAATAAAACTACTTCTGAGCAATTGGTGGAACTATGACCGTAAAAGAAAGATAACAGTTTACTAGAAGAAACTCCATTTCTAAGAGTTTGTGGAGGAAGAAGGAAACCAGCCTTGCAAAACTATTTGATGATACAATTCCTCTAATAAGTATGTTCCTCCAGGGTACGATTGAAGTAGATCTTATGCATTTTTCTTTATTTGTTCTTGTAAATAAGGAAAACAAGATAATTAAGTCTTAATCCAACCATCCTCTGGATTGTGCTGATACAAAGATGCATCATGGGGAGGTTGGTTTCCTTAGAACGCATCCCATTTCTACAGGACATGAGAACAATTGTGAAGGAGCAAGCCCCAATATTGGGCAATACATTTGGGAAGCATTGGCCAAGGATGGTGGGCACAGTAGGGAAGTGTTGAAAGACAGAACTGTGTGTGTAGCAGGGCTTATCCTGCATCTTCTAAGCATCTTCCCACAGGAGCCCCTGGAGAATAATGTCCAAGTTGTGGATCTTGTGGAACAATCCAAGCACCAGCCCTGTCAGCTCCTGTATTCGTGATGGTGGCATGGATGCTAATGAGCTGTCTGCTTTAGGCAGCAAAACATCTTGGAGCAGCCCTGGAGAATGCTTGGTGGCCACACTAATCCAATCTCGGCTGATTTTGAAAGAGCTAAGCAGGACTGGACCTGGTTATGATTTTGGTGGGGACCCATGGGGGAATGCTAGGGTTGTAGGCTAGACTGGGAAGTTGGAAAAACATCCCCAAAGAAAGCAGAGACAAATCATTGCTGCACTGCTGCCAAGAAAGCTATTTGGTTCACCCAACTCCATTCAAGCTCAATTCAAACTTAACTACCTTAATGGTTGCTACCAATCAATGGGTACTGAGGGTGGCAAAGTGATTTTCCTTCACCTTATGGGCAGCAAATTCCATAAATCCGCTCATACGCTGCATGAAAAAAGCTTTGCTTTGCTTGGTCCAACTCTGATGCTCATCAGGGTGATTGGATGATCCGTTTGTTTTGGATTGTATATTATTTGCACCACAATGTTTCTGTTGGAGTAAAAGGTTTTGGAAAGGGGAAGACGGGAATGGGTGGGAGGAAGAAACATGATATCTGCACATCTCTTTTTTTTTAAAGAAATGTTTCCTTCACAGGGTTGTAATCAAGAAGATGCACCCTGGAGCAAATATTTAGAAATTTAATCAATTGTGTAAAGCTAAGAATCATACTGTATGGAAGAAACAGGGTTTTGTTTGGTGTGCGTGTGTTTAAAGAAAAGCTTAAGGAGGACATTTTCATGGCCAAAGAAGTGCATTCCATTTCAGCCAAGAATAAGGTCTTTGTAGCTAGCCCACCTTCGTCAACCCAATACACAATGAACAATGGCCAAAGCCAGCTTGGACTCGCTCCCCCTCCTCATTTAACACAAGGAGGTTCCATTGTGCCAAAGGAGGTGGGGTGGGATGGGGAATGAGGAGTCTAATGCCAAACACTTGTTCACTTGTTCTTCTCCTCTCCAGCCCGCCCTGCAGAAATGCTGAGGCGGCAATTGTGCAAAGAGGCTGGACAGGTTGCTGCTACTGAGAACATTCTTATCCAAAGAACCTCATTACCTTTGCAGGTTTTCAATTGACTGGACTTTCTGAAAAGGAAAAGAAATGGGAAAGCGTCCAATTTAGCCTGGCAGCACTGCAATCACAAGGACAAATAGAGGGAAGAAGCAGGGTGATGACTTCTATTGATGTAGAGCAAACAATACGAGGGTCTGGTTCATAAATAAAAAACAGTGGTGGCCACGCTGGCCCGTGGGGAAGGGATACCCATGCTAAAGCAGCATCTTTATGGAAGCCACCCGAAATGGCACCAAGAGGCTGAATCCAAGCCACGTGTTCAGCCTGGTTATTTAATTAACCTCTGTTCTGGGTTTGCACAATCCTTACCAATGTATCCTACAGGGGCTGTGTTCATGTATCATGCTAAGGTACAATCTTCCATGTTGTGGGAATGCAGCTTAACCAGCTGAACTGGTTAAGCGTAGTATGTGAGCACATCCAAAGTGTGCCAGTTTTTGAGGGCTTTGGAAGTCCTCATCAGGCATGATTACAGAAAGTGGGGGGCCAGAGAAGCAGTCCCATCATTATGCCAGTGTTTTGGCTGTATAATTTAGACAGAGGGTAGGATATTATTATATAATGATATGAATGTGAGCCAACACATGAAACTGCAGAGCTGGTCTTTGGAGGCATGAGATCCTATGTCCCATCTTTCTCAGTTCACCTACTCATAATGGGTATTCCACACCACTGGAAGACATCACATTGGAGAAACCAAAATTCCAACATTGGCCATGATCCCACCCTGGGGATGCTACTACTTGCCAGGATTGTCCTTTCTGTGGGGCTGAGGTACATTGAACATGAGAAGGAAGAAGTTGCTTTTTCAATGAAATCAATGCCAAATTTTGTTTCTAGCACTGACTTACCTTGTATGGCTCTCCAAAGAGATTAAAACCAGATGCAAAGAGGTCTTCATCTTGCTGGACTTCTTGGTTTCTCCGTTCCCATTCTTTTCTTTTAAGCGCGTTCCGATCTTGTTCATAGTGACTGCAATTTTATTTTTAAAAAAGAGATAAACCATTAACCACTTGGTTAAAAATAGGAAAGCATTCCAAAAGTTTCACTATAATGATAGTGTTAAAGAAGCTGTCTTGTTTCTTCATGCCTAGATCATGCTTCTTGGGCTCCTCTGCTAAAAAATTCCTGGTCTTCCAGATTCTTCTTCTCTCTGTCCCAATGTGTCACTGCCTGGCATAATTCTGCACCCAATTCATCAAATTTTCCTGTAATTCCCCCAAATCTGAATGTACCTGTCCACTATCAGCCACAATGTCGTCACAGGCATGATTGCATCATCACACAAATGACATGAATGATGTCATTTGCATGATGCATGTAACATCATTTGCCCCTTCCTGCTACCCCCATGGCCGCCCATGCCAGTTTTGCTTGAATCAGAAATGAACCACCCTACATTTAACGCAGCTTGTATCTTTCACTCTTGAGCAGGCAAACCTAATTGCAGAAACTAGACTCAGCCCCAAGATTCAGTTAATGACCCTAGAATAATCCATAAAGTTCTTCTAAGTTCCCTGTGGCAATCAAGGGCAGGGTAAGACAGCCACACATTCACAGGATAAAATTGGTCAGAACCCAACAGTGGTTTGGAGACTTACTCCATGCTAAGCCATATATTGTTTTAAGCATGGTTAAAACAAAACATGGTTTTTCTTGTATTTATCATTTTAGCCAGAAAACATTCAATAACCCACAATGGCGGGCTTTGCTTGTTGGACTAAGCCATCCGTTGTGGTTTATAAACCATAATGGCTGAGTTAACATGTTGAACTAAGCCAAGGTGATCCTGATATTGTGCCATTCAAACTGGGAAGTAAAATGGCAGAATTTTGGCAGTGTGACTTCAGCCCTTTTTCAGGTGTTACAGTAGTTTTAAGGGTAGAAATTGTATTTTGTCTCTAGGATTCCTTCTGTTCACTCTTCCGGCCTTAAATCTTGCTGAAAACATAACCCCCCCCCCAAAAAAAACAGTCCTTGAAAGACTCATTTTGAACATTTGAGGAGTTTAAAGATAAGAGCAGGGGGCTTCTGGGCACCCTTAACACACACACACACATACACCAATTAAGAAAACAAAAAAAAATGGCCCAACATTTTTTCATTCAGATGCCAATTCTAGTATCCATCCAGATTATTTATTGCAGCCATTCAGAAGATCTGGAGGTTGTACTGCAGTCCTTGGCCCTCAAACGCTGCCTAGTCCTGTTGTGTCACCCAACACACTCAGCCAAATCTAACAATGGTGGCCTAGAAGTTCACTGACTCTAGTACTGTTTATGTTGGCAGCACTTCTCAGGTTATCCAAGGCTGTCATTTTCTGCCCAACCTTTTACTCCGCTCCTTCCAACAGAAGACCCTGAGGATTGGGGATAGGGATTGATGGCAACAACTCCATGCAAAAGCACATCTATAAAGCTCCAAGTTGAAAACCCACCGTTTTCCATTAACAAAATTTGATCAACAGAGGAAACGAAGTAGAAGATTTGTTTCTGTTGTTATGGGTTTGCTGTTTTTGTAGTTTTATTGGGGTTGTGAGCCACCCAGAGCTGTGCTCTAAGATGTGTAGCTTTACAAATCAAATCAAATCAAATCAAAAAATAGGTTGGCGCCTCTTCCATTTCCCATTTCACTGGCAGCTTACCAGCATCTTTTCTTCCTGGGGAAGCAAATTACCTAAGTTCAAGGGAAGTAAGATTGGCTGATGGCACACTGCTTGGTCTTTCAGCATCTCCCTGTCCCCAGCATCTATAGACTGAGGCAATCACTTCAGCCTCCCTAATAGTATGGATGGCCCTGAGGATCAGGTACCAGATGACGTGCAAGCTTTATGAGACCATAGCAGCTACCATGAGATTTGCATCCTTATTACTATGTTTTATACCACTCTTCCTCTCAGAGGAGCTCAGGGTGGTTTACAAACAGCAAGAAAACCAATCTTTAATAAAAGCATTGATAATAATTCCAACAACCCTAAAAGACTATAAAAATACTAAAATGAAAAAGAAGGTGGATGTTAAAAGAGCTATTGTAAAGGCAGACCAGTCCTGGAATAGTTATGCAAATGGGTGCTCATTTCTTTTCTAAAAGAAGATGCAACAGTCAATTTACTGACTGATAAGATTCAGGAGACAGTGTTGTAAACAGGTATCTGCATTCTCCTTTACCAGTGAAAAGAACCAATTCTTCAATGTAAGAAACTGAGAAAGTCTCTGTCCTAATGGATCTGGGGGTAAAATGGTTCTACACTGGAAAGGGTTCAGTTGCTACAATTCTGAATATGCCATCTCTTTGGTCTCAATAAATCTGGTTAAAGAAGACTCTGAGAATTTTTCTTGGAAGCATTGCTTGCACTTGAGTCAGCTGTCAAGAACCTGACCCCAAACAGCATGGGAGCCAACTATATTGTCCTTGGGAGAGAGTTCCAATATTCGGAAAAAAGGCTGTATTCTTCACCACTATGCTGTGAGCCAAACCTGTGAAACTACAAGCAGAACCTCCTCAGCTGAGTAGACCTACTAGCAATGTTCATATATTGTATTAATATGGTTGGTTTAATGTTGGGTTTGTGGTCTGGTTAAATAAAACATTGCTGACCATGAGGTTTGAATCCAGTCATTGCTTTAGATGGTCAAGCACCCTAAACCAGCAGAAGGCAGTAAAGATAGTCTATGAACTCAACATGACCTCTTTCCTAAACCATCATGCTACCGGAACTGAAGCTGAGCATATCTGTAGCAGCAGGGCTGGAGGCTGTGTGTAGATGAGACATTTTAATAAGAGAAATTTATTTATCCAGAATAAATAACAGTTTTAACAGTTTGGCTTTAATCTAAACAAAAAACAAAAAACCTTCTACTGCTGTTTTCCATGTTTAATTAAATTCCACCACCCTAATGCAGCCTGACATAAATCATTACTAAAACATAATTATATAGTAAACAAGCAATATAGCATTTACTATTTCCTAGTAAGTTTTTAAAAGGATTAATAAAAATGAAGCTCTATAATTGCTCAAATCAATGTGGATAATTATCATCTGCCCTTCTAGGTAACACAGAAATACAGTAAATGGTCTACAATGACTGTAGTTGTAAATCAGTATTTTCAAAACTGATTGTGTCAACGTGTGTCTGCGCTCTTTTGTTTAGGAGAGGAAAACAAATGGGTAACTTGACTTCAAAATTTTAATCCTCCCTTTCTCCCTGTTAAACCGGGATTTAGCTGAATTGCCTTTGAAACTTCAGGTCTGCCCCGATCGGTTAGCATTTACACCTGACCATCTGCTTCAGTTCTGTTGTAACATCTTGATCTAGAGAAGCTGAGCTCTTCTTGGGAAAAAAAAAAGTTTTTGCAGATAGAAAATAGAGATATTGTCTTAGTGATTAGCACAGACATCTGAACTTTGTAAGCAGTGGACAAAGTTAGGAGGAATCTGTAGAATGAGTGGAAATATCTGACCAGATGCACAGGTCTTGCTTTTTCTGAGTTGTAGAGCAAGGCGATTTATTTAATTTTTAAAAATGTATACGGCTGCCCTCCGCACCAAAGGGACTTTCAGTGGCCGTAGAGAGCCAGGGAAATGGTCTTGGAGCCAATATTCAGAAACTGTCATGTAAACCAAGAGGACAGAAGCATTTAAGTTCTGGGAAGGGAGATGGTATTAAGAAGAGACTTAGGATGGTCCCTCCCCGACTCACTGGGGTACAAGAGAGAAGGGAGGAGAAACACAAGCAGACTTTCAAGATTAATGAAGTAGAGCCCAGGTCTTCCTGGAGCGTGTGTTTCCTGATCTGGTCTACCCCAAAGGGTTGACAGTGGTGAAGAGAATTTAGGAATAAAACAACAATATAAATAGCTGTATAAAATGCACAACATAGAATCCAAAGAAAACAAAAGAGCAGCCAAGAATAAGATTCCTCAAAGTAATGATAAAGCGCTGACTTCACTGACCTTTGGATCCCCATGCCTGGGCACTCAGCCAGGTCTTAAGCACTTTCTGGAAGACCGGCAGGGCTGGGGCTGATCAAATCTCAAATGGCAAAGCTTTTTGGGGGGGGGCCAGTTGCACACAAACACCTATTCACACAGCCTTAGTGAGTTTCTCATTGTTTGTTACGCTCATGTCCCATCTTTCCTCCAGGAATTCATGATGGCTTATGTACAACAACAATCTTGTAAAGTAGGTTGAGCAAAGAGAGAGAGGACTTGATTTAATGCCTGCATTTAATTCACCTTCTAGACATGGCCACATGCGGGTAGCAAAGAACAATATATTCTCACATCTCTGCTGGGGATGAATTTAATCTCCATCCAGCCCTTTCTGCCCAAGATATAACCATATCTCAACACTAGCCTTTTCAGCTCAGCATGCCAACGTACTGAAAGATTCACACAGCGAGCTATAATGAGGAATAAGCCACATACCCATCAGGCTTTTTCAGCATATAAAGTCACCGATTTCTCACAGAAGCCGCAATTACTAATTTGAAGTGCTGTCTAATTAAAACCACAGCTATGTATTTAGCCTCTTGTTACGCCTCCTGCTGCTTTCTAATTACAGAGACCTCTTTATCTGCACAGCACAACTTCTCCGGATGCAGATAAGCTTATATCCCGACCCACAAGCCCCCTCAAGGGCAGAGGGGACCCCAAAGTCATGTCCTTGAGTGTTCCTGAGATAGGTACTCCCTTGTTTCCACATGGGAACAAAAGAGGGGAGGAAATCCCAAGGAAGGTTCAAAAGAACATTGGGGGAACATCTAACTCAAGTTGATCATAAGATGGTGCTTAAGACAACTCAGTTTAAATCAGCCATACCCAACCTGGCATCTTCCAGGTTTGCAGGGACTCCAACTTCCAGAATTCAAAGATGGCAACATCTCTAGACCAAAGCTGGCTTTGGTTTTAAAATCTCAATGAGCTGTTCTGATATCTAGACATTTTTTCATGGGGTAATTGGTTGTTCTGATACTTGTTTTGGGGGTGCTATTGCCTTCTCTGGCTTCTGCTATTTCTTTCTGGCTGAACGAGTCGCTTCGGTGATCCTCCCCAACCACATCAGCAGCACTGTGATATTTTGCCTGATGTGACAACATCATCCAATATCAGCCATGAAAACATCAGTTAATCAGTTTGGACCTCCACCAAGAGCAATCTAAGTTCAGTGAAGAATAACCATGCATTTACCCAAGGAAGGCTGAAAAAAAAAAAATAAGGGAGGACTTTTCCAGCACTGTAGAAATTTGTCACACAAAATGGTACATAGTC